TAATACACAAGATGCTATTATAACCAAGGTTCAAAATATCAAGACACCTGAATATGACTGGAACGTGTGTATCAGGGGTTTGACCAACATGCATCCTTTTTTTAGGTTTTTTTTCAAAATTTTACAAGGGGGCGGTTTTAACAAGGCCTACCCCTGAAAATATTAAAATTTTAAAGTACTTAACATTTCATGTATCACGGTATCAGGGTTGGGACCAATATGATACAATACGCCCAATTCACCCCGATACATGACAAAAGCTTATAGAAACAGTATTATTACAACTTGCACTTTCTATGAGTTTAAATTTTGCTTGGACTCACTCCATTATGTAGTTTTGACTCTGAAAGCTTATAGGACAACTTTGCAGCATATTATTTTGTCTATTAACCTTTTTCTCAGCTTTGCTTGATGGTTTGGATTTTGGAACAAGATAATAATTTAAAAGGGTGTACATTTTCTTCTTTTATCATTTCATAAACTATCATACTCTATTTTGCATATTTCACAATACTTTCACCATGTCTATAATTTTTACCATATTTCTACAAGACATTTCCAACATGTTTCCTATATTTGGATGACCAATACTTCAACCAGCACCAACATTTTCGTGCTGCTAGGCATTTTCTCCTTTCCTAGTAACTAGGAAGAGGTGCTTACGATGTATCATAATAAATTCCCTTTGATCTTGCTAGTGATCATGATAAAAAATTCAAAAGAATGCAAGTTAATAGACATTGGACAGATATTGTTGCTGACATATTTATTAAAAAATGTAATCCATGAAGGAACTTATAAAAATGAAAGAGAAATTTTGTTCCATTTTGCAAGCTAGTGAACAATACGGTGTGTGTAGCAAGGATCAAAATATTGACATGCACCGATACCAAAAATTGGGTATCAGTGCATATCGATAGACCGATACATTTTTTATTCTATCAGCCTGAATAATTCTCAAACAGGCTTAGAGGGATACCTTCTATCATCCTAAATGTTCAAAACCCCCAAACCCTGTGTATTTTAGTGTATCCATGACCTTGGATACAGACACATTGATATTTTGATTCTTGGGGTGTAGCTCAATTATTGGCAGCTTGAGGTACCCATTTCACACTTATCCTCAATTGCCCCAATATATTTTTTATTTTCCTGATCATATTCCCGTATTTTCAAGCGCCGTCCTAATTGCTCTCCAACCATCTTGTGACTACCTTAGAATTCCCTTCAATGATTATGTGTGTGTACTGTGTAGCTCAATGGCTTTGCTTTTCTAAGACCCATCAGGGCAGCCATAACCATAAGTACTGCTCTTGTTGATTCCCCCACCTCAATTGGACCTGAGTATACCTCCATTGTATCCCTTCATTATTTCTGATCACGACTCCAATCTCTGGCATCCCCGGGTCGCCTAGGCTGTAGTCATCAAAATTAATCTTCACAAAGGGCAACGGTGATGGGCTCCAAATAGCAGATTTTTGCTTCCTTCCGGTGGAGGAATCAACCACCGTTTTCCAATTTCTACAGATATCATTTATGGAAAAAGGACAATAATTCTAGAGTAACCTAGGTACAAACACCAAATTGATGTAATAGACAATGCGCAGATCAGAAAATAACAGGGATAACAAACAATTTTAAAATACCGGGGAGGAGCATATATCCCAGCTGAGCATATCCTCAAGAATCTCCTCACACTCCTTAGCATCCTTGAGGTACCCTTCTCTTGCGATCATCCATGTTAAAGTACTCATCCTTTACCATTCTCTTCTCGACGATCTGCCTCGCATTGTACACATTGTCAATCTCTTCATCGGTGTCATACAGCTCCTCAAAATCCGATTCGAACTCTTTGTCCTTAACATCATCCAGAGACTTCTGCCGAAGCTCCTCCATCAATCCGTCGTCGGTCTCCTCGTGATTCCCACGTAACCTTCTGGTGAGGATCGCTTCCATGATCGACGGCAGCGCCTCTTCATCCCCCTTGAAATACCTCTCTATCCGCTGACGGAGCTCTGCATAAATTGACAATGCAGTCACAGAAACCCAAGAATCAAGAACAGAAAACAAAAACTTCACTCGGTTCTTTATTACTACCTTTGTTGTTGATGTCTTCGACATCAATGGAGATCTCTTTTTCCTTTGGTTCATCGATGTCTTTCTTCTGTGCCTGGGTTAAGCTGGTTTCAGAAACAGGGGGATTTTCATTGGAAGAATCATTTTCAGATGAGAGGTGGGAGGGGGAGTGGAAGAAATAAGGTTTGGTCTGAAATTCCTAGTGAAAAGAGCACGCTAGTGTATTGAGATGTGCATTTAAGCAGATATCGTCTCATTGCTTGGGAATTTCGTTAGGGTTTAAGCGGCAATGCTCTCTCTCTCTCTCTCTCTCTCTCAAGTCTCATCACTCATCACTCATCACTCATCACTCATCACTCATTCAAATTAGTAAATTGCAGTGGCAATGCAAAAGAGAGAGTCGCGGGAAAGACCCAAAGTGGATGGACTCCGGTGCGGCAGTGACCGCGAGACTGATGAGACGAGTAACAAGTTTTTTTTTTTTTTTTTTGAGTAACAACTAACAAGTTAGAACATTAGAACCCGTTGGCGCAGGTGGACGGCCCATTAAAGAGGGTCATGGGCCGAGTTAACAGGAGTCTCGAGTAAGCAGGGGCCCAGACCGGTCCACAATCTGGGCCTTGGCCAAGCATCAGGCCTTCCGGGCCTAAAGGTTGCCTAGGTGGGTCCCCAGCTCACAAAGCCAAAAGCAGCCACGGCCCCACGGAAAAGCCCTCCCGAAAGGGCACTCAGGATCTCAGGCCTCGTTTTAAGGGTTTAAGCTTTGGTTGAGTTATTATAGTTGAGCTTCTTTCCACTAACTGATTGAAAAAAATAGTCACTTTTTGACCTCTCCGGATTTTTCACCAAAAAATTGCTTTCATAGAATTTTTTAGTCTTCTCCACCTTGCAAGGGCAAAAAGTAGCAATGTGAAAACATTCCTAAAGTTAAGATTTTGGAACGGCCTAGGAATGTATGGACGAATTGGTGGAGTTCATATCTCCACCCCACAGCACATTCCCGCATCATCATCGGGAGATGTTCCCAATACACGGCGGGGATATGCTGTGGGGGCATTGTGGGGCGGGATGCTGTGGGGGAGGAGATGTGGTCTTGAATTGGTGAGCCCAAAATGAGTAAATGAGCATAAAACACTCATTTGAAACTTCATGAATAGGTGGGCTCAAGGGCCCAGATGTGAACCGGGCCAACTGGTTGGACCAGTGACATGATGACCCAATGACCATCCGTGGTCCCGGTTAGTGATCTGTTTTTATGATCAAAACAAACGAACTGCCTGGCTAACCACAGTGAGCACTTCAGTTTTGTAACAACACTAAAAGGCTCAGTTTGAAAAGAGTACTGATGCAAATATGTACAGTACAAATACATATAAAATAATACAAAATATAAGATTTTTGCACTCTACATATTTGCATTTGTACTCCTTCCAAACTGAGCCAAATAAGCATTTCAGGCTTTTTTTTTCGACTCCTAGTTGGTTAGATGATCCACCAGATTGGTTTTTGAACGCTTCAGGAGGCCCGTCTTGTTAATGGCAGACTAGCAGTTAGTTTCATCTTTATATGGCAAAAGATTGCTTCTGTTTTCTTATCAAAAACATAGAAGCCCTTATGGGCCTACCAATTCCAAATGGGCTCACTGGTCCAATTTTAGTATATGAATCACAGAATAGTTTTTAGCCCAATGTAACGTCCATTACCATTAAAGGACTCTTAAGAAGAAGGCCCGCCCTCGTTGAATCAAAATATGCATATGATCAGAAAGTACTGTTTGGTACTACTGCAGTAGCCACAGATTATTCACTTTCCTGCGTCAACTTGTTGAATAACTCTATTCCAAGCAGCAAGCTCTTGGGAGACAGAAACAACCCACCCCCACCAAAGCGGTTTTTTGATTCAGATTCTTTTCCTCTGGATCGTAACCCTGCATCTTGATGTTGACTTGCACAAACTCCATAATCCATCGATTCCGGATCTTCTGTCCATGAGAATTCTATTGACGTTTATTCATATAACATCGCAGTCATACATGAAGAATCTCATCTACCTACATAGTATTATACACTGGGAGATGTTACCATTGCACACAGGAGTAATGTGTTGTAGATAAACGTGATCAGAGTTTTTATGTGCAGGAAAAACGAAGTCAGATCCAAAAGAGTCGAGAATAACAAAGCTTCTTGGACGCCAGTGACTCGTCGTAATCGAATAAGCATGCTTCATTGGTACAATGTTGGGGGACTTGGGGGATGGTCCCTCGTCCCTCGTCCCTCGACCAGCTGCTTCTCTCTCTTGTCTCAAATATCAATGCCTGCAGTCAAGGAAATTTAATTACATCGTCAGCGATATTTCTGTGTCTTGCATTTTCTAGACGGAAATGCTTTGTCCGTGCTAGTATTGTCTTTCTATGAATGTTTGGCTGTGACATACTGACTTGTGATCAACTCCATCAGAAGAAGTAACGTAAGAGAGATATAGAACTTCAATGTAGCAATCTTCTGATTCTTCTCTGCTTAACACGGTTAATAAACTTTTTAAGGGCAACTTATTTTTCTTTGTAAAAGCTAGAAAAGTAGGATCGTTTCTCCAACTTGAAAGTAGGCAAGTGTCAAACTATGGAACTTCCAAAAAGAAGAAAAAAACGTATGACTCAACACTTGGAGCAATCAGCGCTTCAGAAGGATCCCACATTTCTTACTCACTTTTCCTATCCACTTTCTACTCTCTTAATATCCCACTTCCCACAGCACATCCTTGCTATGAATTAGAAACATCTCCCAACAATGGCATCATTAAATCATCATTTTTAGTATATCATCGGGAGATGTTTCCAATACACAGTAAAAATATGCTGTGAAACGTTGTGGGGCGCCCTCTTGTGGGGGCAAATGTAAACTCTATGAGTACGAAATCCCCGGTGCTTATGCACCTTTTGTATTTCTTTTTTCCTTGTAGCACTACCTTCAAAAAAGTTTATTCAATTAATTAACTTCACCAGCTATTTCAAGAAAATCCAAATCCATACTAAACCATGAAAATAATACATGAATATGTTAAAAAGAAAAGAAAAAAACTAAATAATGTTTATTAAAAGCTCATTGCTCTTTTTGGCAGTAAATGATAGTCTGGAAGTGGAAAAACTGGAAAAGAAATAAAAAAAAAAGGAAAAAATCATTTCTACAACAGAAGCACAAAACCTTAAGTTAGGCTTTCTGCTTTGCGGCCTTAAAGTGTTTTGGGTTTAGAATAACATTTTGAAAAGTAATTTTTGCCAACACTTTTTTTTTGGCTCAATTTATTTTTCCAAATTCCATAGCACCAAAGCAAAAAAGATAATTATTCGTACCACTGTAAATTAAATTAATTGAAGAAATACTGGACCACTCCAAAGAGACTGAAACAGGTGAGTGAAGGAATAGCCCAACTTTTGTCTTTTCAGGAATCTGCTTCAGAATTTCAAAAGCAAAAGGACGACTGGTTTCAATTCAGGTATCACTCACCACTGGGTACAAATTCTGCGCCTTTGCGACCTTGTTGGGCTCATTTCTTGATTTTACGTCTTACATTACATCGTGGCAATACAAAAAAAAAAAAAAAAAAAAAAAAAACAAATGCCTTTTTAGAGTTCAGTCCACTAGAATTCATAAATTAATTTTTCAAGGCTGTCGTTTATTTTGTCGATGTAAAAATATATTGATGGAATTCATCAAACATCAATCGAAGGTGTGATTATTAATGTAAATATTTATGTCGATTTATTTTACATTGATTATTAATATAAAACTCTACTATAAATAAAGTGTTACATCAATTTTTTATGTAAAATTGCACCCCATCCAAACATTGATAAATATAGACTAGGATTAAAATTTTACACCAATCTCTATTTATATAGAAAACAAATGCAGCCCAAATGTACTTATCTCCCACCCACCCCCTAAACATCGATCATTCCCCGTCAATTGAGAATCTCTCCCCTCTACGCTGATCCAACCTTACCATCTCTGAATATTCTGGGATGGACTGAACTCAAATTACCCCCGAAAACAAATAGCACCTCTGAGCCTGGGATATATATAATTTTCTGGTTCCTTTGCCGTGCCGACTCTGCATTCCAGCTAATGCGTTCAATCACGCATCCAACACCTTATACCTTATAGGTGGGATCTAAAAGCTAAAGTAATCAACATATAATTAATACTCACACGTGTGATTGATGTCGTATTATGGTTTTTGAACCGCAGTCATTGAATTGGTTAATATTTGTTTAATGATTTTTATCGTTTTTTGTTTTAATATTTTTATTAAATAGACTGTTTATTCAGATCGGACGATCAAATTGTCGACCCGGAAATTGATGGTCAGAACAATTTCAATTCTGGGTCGTTTTTTAAATCATTGTGTTGTATTGAACATATATTTGGCCATCAGGCTCAGTTTAAAAAAAATATACAAAAAATAAATTTATACTGTTCAAATATATACAAAATACAAGGTTTTACACTCTACATATTTACATTTATAAACCTTCTAAATGGAGCTTCATTTTCTAGGATGCAAAACAAATTAATGCAGGGACCCGGTGAGAGCTTGGTTGCATACTTTGGCCTCCACTCCCAATTTCTAAACCTCGAGTTTAAAGAGTCGAGAACAGCAAGACAATTTAGGATTTGGTTCGTGATTGGAATTGGAATTCGAATGGTTCATTCCCCCACCTGTTTTGTTTACATGAGAATTGGAATGGGATTCCAGGCGATACTTGTTGATTCATCTACAGGTCGAAATCAAAATCTAATCAATCACAAACCAACAACTAAAAAACTCCCATACTGCACATTCAACCAGCAATCTCCAACAACTAATCAATCACAATTCAACCAACAACCTCTCAATTTTAGCAATTCACACATCCAACAGCTTCCAAACAAGTTGTATGAGTATGACACGAATTTGAAAAACAGATAAAAATAAGTAAAAAAAGAATGATCCGATACTAACCCGAGGTGATACTGGTTGTATAGCACAAATCATAATTATAAATAAATAAATGCAAAATTACACCAAATGCAAAATTTACATCTGATTAAGATTTGTACTGCAAACAGGGCCTTAGAGGGTGCTCTCAAACATATATGGTTTTGCTTTTAAATATAAAAAGAGTTGCCACATAAGCATAAACAATTAGGAGAAATCTATGATATTGAAAAGACATAATACAAAAGGGCTCCGACCAATCAAAACCTAGTTTAGATCTCCTTATAACCACTTCTTCAAGGTACATTGCAGCAGCACATTGTAAACATCTCCCATACTTAATCTTTTAATTCATGGGAAGATGTTTCCAATGCACCGCTGCCAGTGCTATGAGGTGAATGTGGAAAGGATTCTGTGAGGTGGAAATCCAAATTCATCAAAACCTCCCCATGAATTTGATAAATAACCAATCAGTTACTATTTTGTGATAATGATTAATTGGTAGGAGCTTTTCTGATATCATAGTTGAACCCAAGCAATTATCTATATTCTATAATTACATCTCCACAGTCAGTTTCTAATTTGATGATATCCAGTGATCTCATTTGATACCATTGATGAAACCAGTTCTAGGGATGACAATTTCTACCCTATTCAGTGGATATATACTTGCCCCTACCCCCTCCCCTATGGGGTGGGTTTTTTTTTTTTTTTTTTTGAACGACGAGTTTTGGGATTCTACAACCCGTACAAATATGGGTAGGATACAAAATTAAGCTAAGCCCAATTCTCCCCAACCCACATATTGTTGGAAAGCATGTAATATTTATGTAATAGGTGTTGAATTTAATAATATTTTAAATTTTATGCAAAGGGCAATTGATAGTTTGTGTTTTTACATGTCTTAATCAAATAATTGAAACTTTTGTTGTTTATTTGTGTTATTTTACTAAGTTATTGCTTATATATGAGGAAATAATATGAAATTATATGTGGGTTCTAAACTCAATTCGCCCCTACCCTTGAATGCAAAGCATATAAATTTTGTTATATACTACCCCCCCCCCCCCTCTTGTTATAGGATTGGGTTATACACCAAAAGGGATATATCCAACAAAATCATGGTCTATGGCATTATCTTTAGGCACGTGGTGCAACATAGTACCCCCATCAAAGGGAATGTGATGAGCTGATCAAAGGTGAATTCATTTTTATCTTCTATTGCAATACCAGAAAGATATGATATCAAAAAAGCTTATGACCAATGCATGAACTTGGACCTCTTCCAAATAGAAGTAAGGATTAAATTAATTGTATCAGGTATCGTATCAGATAGTTTTTACACAGATATGGATACACTTTGGAAATGCACAGACACAAACAAAAGATATAGAAATGATTGGACATTTTAGGGAAAAATACATAAATTCCATAAATACGCGAATACCACTAAGCTTACAGTCAAAATAGCCACAAATATGATATAAATGCATAAGAAATGTATATTTTAATAGTATATATGAAAAATATATTACAATTAATAAAGTAGGATGTATAAATATCATAAAATTTTGTTGAATAATCCATCAATAAAGAGTCAAAGACACAAAACATATGCAACTATTGTATTTTAATTATTATATCAATTATTTTCAATTTTACTAGTTTTACTTTTTAACATTAACAAAATAGTTAACTAAATACTAAATTTTCAAATGTTTGGTAAACAGAATTTTGTATTTTTGTAAACAATAAATATTTTATTATAGATATAATTTAAAATATCAATTAATAGTCTATAAAAATATATAATCTTAAAATACATCAAATCTATTAAAATTTCTAAGACACATATCATGTGAAAATTCACAATTTTATTATTCCATTGTTATAATTATTCTATTATTAATATTTGTATATATTTCTTGAAAGTAAAATTCATTTTTTATGTAAATGTTGATTTGATAGGTCAATTATTCCATTACTATTTATAAAATACTAATTTTGAATATTATTCCTTTTAATTTTCTGTTTTGTTAAACATAAACATATGCTATTTGTATGGATTGCATGTTGAAATAAAAGTTATTTTATTTCATTTATTATCACAACTTGTAAGTTGATTTAGTTGCTTAAGGTTGTGCTCAAAGAAGGTACTAACTGTTATATATATAAAAAAAAAACCTATAATTTCTAATGAAAGCATGCACCATCTTTTGTATTGTTCATATCGGTATGTATTCGCCTATACAACCCGATACAACCAAGGCATGTCATGTATGACTTAGTGGATACATTATGTCTCCTTTGATTTTTGGTAAATAATTACTTGGGTAAATATAATTATTTGGGTAAATTTTTCTTAGGAAACACTTATCTGGATAAATTCATTTACCCATGTTCTTTTATTTCCTAGGTAAATAAGATAATGATCATTTTAGCCATAAAGATCCATTATTAAAAGGGGCATCTTTGTCCCATTCAAGTATTAACAACTTTCCCCCTAGGTGAAAAAGTTATTTACCCACTTAGAATATGGGTATCAATTACCCAAAAAATAAACTTTCTTTGGTCCCCACATAATCTAAAAAATGAACATGGGATTCTTGATCAACGGGAACCAAAATCCCATTGACCAACTTTCCCCCCTCTCAAAAGCTATGCACATCTTGTAATGAGCGCGCATCACCTGTACATTTAAGATCTAATTGGGTTAC